CCCCCCCCCGGGCCTGGAACACCGGGGCCGCCCACAGTTCCGGCGGCCTGCCCGGCCTCTGCCTCCCCTTCTACCCGGCCTGCCAGAGCCCAGCTCTGCCCAGCTCATTTTGTCTGGCAGCAGAATCCCCAAGCCTTTTTGACTGGATCGATATTGTCGATCATTTCTTCACTGCTTGCGCTCAGATGAAAAAAAGTATCGGGTTGACTTGAAGGTTTTGTAGCACATGATTAATGTAGCCAGCGTTAGAAAGGGCAAATGAAAGTCATCCTAATGCCAACTATGGCTAAATTGCTGTGCTTTTTTTGTGGTATGATTTGTGGTCACTGTTACTGTGCCGGGGCAAAGCCCAAGGTAGGCCACCGTTTATATCTGTTCCGTGGTGTTTCGGCTGTAAGAGTTGGATGGCAGCCTGCAAAGGCTGCAACTCCCGACTCAAGCTACCGCCAGGGAGTTCGGGGTTTTGCAATCCCTGTTTTCTCACAGTCCGCATTGAGAAATTAGTGTTCACCCCCACCAGGATCGGCCGACCAGTTGTTCCACTACTTGAGGCGTGTTTGCGACACCATCGAGGCAGCTTGCGAACGGTTCGAATCGGACCGCACGGCCGGTTTCGTCGACGAGGACGGGGCACCAATCCCTGGAAAGGGCCGAGATACAAAGGGTGGATCGGGGCCAGATCCCTTCAGTTCGGGTGAGCGTGGAGGAGAACGAGATCCTGGAGCTGATTCTGCCAGTCAGGGTATAGTGAAGAAGGAGACAGAGGCTGAGAAAGAGAAAGAACCAGTGGCGGAGAGATCACGAAGGAGGAGGAGATCTTACAAGAACGGCCAAACCATCCGCGAGGAAGCCCTTGCCCACGTCACCCTCACCGCCTGGATACTATCAGGAGGAGAGTCAAAAGGCACCTCGGTAAAAAGGCTACAAACACGTTCTTCGAGGACAATACTACTCGAAACGCGGCTCAGGCCGCGGCAAAGGAAAAGGGAAAGGATGGCGCCGAAGGTAGTGCGCCGTCCTGCCGCCGATCCTCGCAGGCGCGGGGTGTTGAGGCGGCCAGCCGTGGCAGAGGAGGCTGGCTATTGGGATGATGGTACATGGTGTGAAAGCCAGTTATTATGGCAATCCCTGTCAGTTCACGGGGAAAATCATAGAAGAAACCAGGGACGTTTCAGGCCGCTATTTGATGCTCAAGCTCACGGGCACCAATTTAGAGTCCCTCCTGATGTGGGGATCCGGGGGGCGCGCGCTGGCCAAGGTACATGTGTGCCCTCCAGAGTCCAACCTGGAATCCGATGGGCCAGGCCTCATACATTGTCAGGAGGCACGAGGGATTGGCGGCGCCTACACGAACTAGCAGACTTGCCTTGGAGAGACGTCTTGGTCAACGCGGGCGATCGAGGCGGCGACGAGTTGGCAGGTCTTCGGGGGCGGATGGAGGATCTTCCGGACCCTGTTGCAGGAGGAGGTCATCCCGGAGAAGCAGAGGGCGCAAAGGAGAAAGCGACCGGAAAGGAGGCCGACAAGAAGAAGAAGAAAAAGAAGGAGAAGAGAAAGCGCAGGAGTTCAGGAAGCTCAGACAAAAGGAAGAAGAAACGCGATCGGAGTCCCGGGAGCCGCTCAAGAGGAAGAGAAAGAAAGAAAGGGAAGAGGAAGAAAAAGGAAGAGATAGGCGGGGAAGGCAGCCCTGTGAGAAGCAGTGCAAGCAGCAGTACCAGCGAGGAGAAGGGGTACGTGATGGTCGATCAGAAGACCATGTTTGGCCGAAGCGGGCTCGACCCATCGAGAAAGGTCCGCAATCGCGCAAAGAGGAAGGCCCAGAAGTACGCCCAGAGGAAAGGAAGAAACAAGTCAGACAGCAGGAGCAGGAGCAGCAGCGGCAGCGAAGCTCCCCAAAAAGGGGAATCTATTTTCGGCGAGCCCCACAAAATCAGGGCTGTCGGGGTGAGCTTCCCTGGGGTGTTGTCAGCAGCAGCAATAGAAGACATGCTTGGAAGCCCAGATCAGCGGGCTCCCATTGGCCTCAGCTCATCGACTAGAGTTGTTGCCAAGCGACACGGCCACCCTCTCGACCAGACAAGAGCTTCGAATAGCAGCGGCCGAGCACAAGGCGGAGACCCAGGCACACCAGCCCGGAAGCTGGTGGTCGAAAGCCCACAAGGGCGACAAAGTGGAGAAGGGAAAAGGAAAAGGCAAGAAGGGCAAGGACAAGCAGAAGAAGGACTCGTGAGGAGCAGAGGAGTGGGGTTGAACAGCCCTGAGAAGAGGCGGAGGGTATCATCAACGGCCCCGGACAATGGTACGGGGATACAGGCCCTGATGGTGACACGACCTGGCGAGGCTGGAGGCCTTGTGGTGGATTGCGCAACGATATGACAGCTGGTGGCGCCACTTTGAAGGGGCTGCCGGGGGAGCTTTCAACCTTCCCCCCTCCGCCGGCTGTGGTTTTTCCAATAGGGATTTCGAAGGGCAGGACGCACGGCAATGCTGCGTTTGCGCTCGAGGCGACCCTTTCGGGGCCAGACCCCTTGATCCGAGACGGGTCAGAAAAGGAGGGAGTATTCGCTGACGTGAGCGGACTACGGATTTGGGAGATGGGAGAAGCTTTACTGGGTGGGTTGCACGGGGTTTTGAAGCTCTGCAGCCAGACCACGGATGGGGAGGTCGGTCACACGGTAAAGGGCCATGATACTTTCCCCCTTCCAACCTCCCGCAATCTACTTTCATCTTTTGCCAAGCCAAAAACTGTCAGGAAGAAAGCGATGGACATCATCTTCCACCTCTTACGAAGATGCAGGCCCGGGTCATCCGTGGCCTGTTAGAGGACGTCGCTCGGATGAAGGACATCCCGGAAACGACAGCCGCTTTTGAGTGGGGGGAGTTCTTTCGCGCACGAACCATCGATTACAAGGGTGACGAGGTGAAAACAGCTTTGAAGTTCAGTTGGTCCAACATCAGGCCCGCCTTACCCCAGGAAATAGGTGTGGCCCAGCTTACAGACATTTGTGAACAGGGGTGCCGTCATTACATTGAGAACTTTCCATACTTGAAGCCTCCCTCGGAGTGGGGGCCGTCCAAGAGAGCTCGGTGAACCATGACTGGGAGGAAGTGGCCAAGGGGCTTATACAAGCCGGGGTTTACGGGGTGGTCCCTGAGTGAGAGGTCTTTCGAGTAGGTCCCCATTTGCTGCTCAACGGACTATTTGGAGTTGAGAAAAATGAAGAAGCCGCCGGGATCCCTATCTACAGACTCATTATGAATCTGGTGCCGCTCAACGACCTCTGCCAACCCATGGCCGGAGACATTCAGACGCTACCACATTGGTTTGGGATGTCGCCTTTCCATATTGAACCCGGAGAAAATTCGGTGATTTCTAGTGAGGACTTGCGGTGTTTCTTTTACACCCTGAGTCTGCCACCCTGCTGGTTTCCGTACCTCTGAATTTAACAATTCCTTGCCGGCCAGCCTGGTACCTGAACAGTATGCAGGTCAGGTCTGCTATCCTTGTTCGAAGGTGTTGCCGATGGGGTTTCTAAACAGTGTGGGAAACGCCCAGCACGTTCACCGGGTGTTAGTGCACCGATCGCAAAGCCACAACCACATCCGGAACACTCAACGAAACGAGATCAGAAAAGACAACGTATTGCCTGATGGACGGACGTGCTGGAGAGTATATTTGGATAACTATGATCTCTTGGAGAAGTTCCCGCACGAGGTGTTGGAGGAGTCAGCGGGGCAAGTCGCGCCTGAAGTGGAAGCTCTACGCGAAGAGTACAAGGCCTGGGGATTGCCCCGACACCCTGGCAAGGCCGTCAGTCGGGAGATGCTGAAGTGCAAGGGGGTCGTGGGCGGGGTCCGGGGCCTGGCGTACCCTAAGGGTCAAAAATTGTCCAAATATGTCACCATGGCTTACAGGTTGATGCAGGAAACCCGGGCCACCCAGAGGCAAATGCAGGTAGTATGTGGTGGCCTGGTCTACTTTGCGACCTGTCGCAGGCAGCTGCTAGGGGGGCTCAACCAATCCTGGAAGTACATCGAATCGTTCAATCACGCTGGACGTCGTGCGCTTCCGATACCCCATACAGTGAAATTGGAGATTTATAGGTTTTTACGCCTTATTCCCCTATGCCGCTTGAACTTCCGCTTGGCGCTGGACCCAACGGTGACGTGCTCAGACGCATCAGAACATGGTGGTGGAGTGTGCGTGGCCACGAGCCTGACCACCTTTGGGAAGCAAGTTGCAAACGGGGAAGGTCCCTGGGAAATGCAGGACTCGCGTGGAGGCGGGGTACACAGTGTGGGGCTATTCGATGGGATCGGTTGCTTGAGGACCGCGCTGGACCTCCTGGGGTGTGAGGTCTCGGGGCACATTTCGATTGAAAAGGACCCTGCTGCACGGCGCGTCGTGGAACATCACTTTCCGGGTACCCTCCACTACCCCGACATTGTCGATGTGAATGAGAAAGACGTCATCCATTGGTCGCTGACCTACGGTCAAGTTGAATTGGTCCTCATCGGGGCTGGACCGCCCTGTCAGGGGGGTTTCAGGTTTGAACAGTCAGAAGAAAGGAGTGTTCGAGATGAAAGGTCTTCTTTGTTCATTCACGTACAGAGGATCGCAAATCTTATCCGGTCACACTTCCCCTGGGCGCAGACCCATACGCTTATGGAGAGCGTGGCCTCCATGGGCGAGAAGGACAAGGACATCATGTCGGACAGTTTCGGGGATAGGCCCTGGCAATGTGATGCTGGAGCCATGACCTGGTGTAATCGGCCACGATTATACTGGTTGACCTGGAACATTGACGGGTCAGGACCGGATGTGGACATTCACGGGCGTCGATTGACATTAAGCAATGACCGAGGCTGGGAGAGATCAGTTGAGGCGGGGTGGACAAAGGTTGACGCAACTCAGTCATTCCCTACTTTCACGACATCAAGACCACGGACTTCACGAGGACACCGACCTGCGGGCCTGAGCGCCTGTGACGATGACACGGTGAGCCGGTGGGAGCAAGACAAGCACCGATTCCCACCGTACCAATATTTGCCCCGCCATTGCTTGCAGAATCGCAAGGGGGAATATCGGTTGCCTTCAATACATGAACGTGAATAATATACGATGGGGCTGCCAGTGGGATATACTCAGATGTGCTATCCTAAGTCACAGCGCAAGAAGGAGGATTACAATGACAAGAGACTCAGCCTTGTTGGAAATGCCTGGTCCGTGCCGGTAGTGCACTGGCACCATCACAGGTATTGGATCGCTTGGACGTGGAAAGCATCCAATCGCGGTTGATGCGGCCACCGCTGCGGCCCAACCTCGCGCCCGACAGTGCCTCTGAACAGCACCTGGTGCAGCAACCAGGCCGCTTGGTATCCACAAAAGGCTCGGACCTCATGCTGACCAGTACTCCGGACGAAATTCAAGGTCATCAGCGCCTGCGCCACACAGTAAACCCAAAGATGTGGAAGTGAAAGGTAGTATCAGGTTGGAAATGCTTGGGACGGGGTGAACATATAAATTCCCTGGAGCTGCGAGCATCCCTAGCATGCTTGCGTTGGCGCCTGGAGCATTTACAGAACCATGACTGTCGAATCTTGCATCTTACAGATTCTCTGGTTTGCTTACACAGCATGACCAGGGGACGTACATCGAGCAGACGTCTGAGGAGAACACTTTGCCGAATCAACTCGCTCTTGCTAGCCCACAATGTGGTTGGTCTATGGGGGTACGTGAGTACCGACCTCAACCCGGCGGATCGTCCGTCGCGGTGGGCGGTACGAACCAAGTTCCGTCATGCCAAGAGCCGTATTTGAGGGAGGAACTCAGGCTAGCAGAGCAAGAGATAGGCAAAAGCTCGGCACGCTTCGACAGCTCACCGTACAACCTTCTCAACCGTTTTCTCTCCTTTTTAAAGGCCGAAGGCCTTCAGCTCCCCAGCAAGCGCGATCAGCTGGACCCATTGGTCATGGAATACATAGAGCATTTGTGGTTGACGGGGGAGGGGCGTGGACTGGCCGCCGACACCCTGGCTTCTTTGCAAGACCACGATGCTAAAATCCGTGGTCATCTTTCAGGAGCATGGAGATTGGTAAAGACGGGTAACACATGAGTTGCCAAATCGCGCGCCACCAGTACCAGAGGTTGTCCTGCATAGCATGGTAGGCTGGAGTCTGTACCATGGGCATTATGCTTTCGCCACTAGTTTACTGATGTGCTTTTATGGCATACTGCGTACAGGGGAACAGTTTGATGTGGTCCGCGATAGAGTGGAAATTTCTACCAAATTGCGCACAGCAGTAGTGGCCCTAGGCCTTACGAAGGCGGGTAAACGGGCTGGTGTCCAAGAGAGTGTTTCCATCGGTCATGATACTGCTTTCCGACTTGTACAGCACTGGGTCACCACACCAGAAATTGTGCCCGGGCGCCGCCCGCTGGCGCAAATTATTTGAATCCTGCATTGAAAGCCTGCAATTGGAGCCCCTAGAGCTCAGGCCCTACTCGCTGAGAAGAGGGGGGGCCACACGGTGGTTTTGCCAACATGGCAATCTTGATCGGGTAATGGTCCTCGGTAGATGGCAGGCTCAGAAAACGGCACGTTTGTACCTATCCAGAGCCATCCTGGCTGAAATGAAGTTGGATCCCATGGAACGGTTTTTGGCACCTTTTCGCACCTTTTTTGTGAATTCAGATCCTCAAATTTGAAACATTTGAGCCGTTGCAAAGCAACAGGCCGGCCTCTCTCAAACGAGGCCTGGGGGGACGTGGAAACAAACACCCCTCCAAAAGACCAGCTATGAAGAGAGGAAAAAGCTGGTATGTCCCTTGGGGCCTGGCCAGGGCTTGGGGTGTGGCCCACCTGGTCAGGGGGGGGACGAGTATCCGGGTACGCTCCGTTCCTTGAGTTGTGGACCAGGAAGGGGGGGGATACTCCACTCGAACTTTTATTGGGGGAATCATTTTTTGTTCCCAATTTTTCTTATTATGTGACAATCTTGCTGCAGAGCGAACAGAAAAGAGGTGTGCTCTACTCTTTATATATATATATATATATAGTAAGTCAACATATAAGCACAATACAGCCTTTGGACAGCAGGCGAATGGACATTGTGTGGGCTTGCAGGCCCGAGAAGAGGAGGAAGATGCTGCATCCATGCCGGTTTGTGATGATTCAGACGTGGAGGCAGCGACTTTGGTGGTTGGGGTGATCTTTGGAGGGTTTAGTTTTGCTACTTCCAGAGGCGAGCAGGATATATTGATGACTCGGTTCGGGGTGGGACGCTTGAAGCAGATCCGGTCAAGCCTCGTAGGCCTCGCTGGCCTCATCGGAAAGTGACTCCCTCGGTACCAAGCCGCCAACTCAGACCCCACACGGCTGCTTGGAAGCACTTGGCACTTTGCAATAAAGTAAGCGCTACACTGATACATGCCCGTACCCCGTGTGACTAAAAGGGGCAGATGATATGTGATTTTGGCTGCGAAAGAGTGAAGTTAATAGAGAGCTCTGCCATATACCCCATCAAATTTGGAACACATGACTCTATCGATTATGAATGCACTGTTAGCAGTGTAGCAGTGTCGCACAACCAACCACAGGGGATGAGGAACACAGCCTTTTGTCAGGTGCATACAACTTGCAAGATCCGCGGCAGCTAGTAGAGCTCCTCATCAATGCGAAGATTGGGTTGATACGCCTGGATTACTTGCGTGAACTGCGCCATCGTGGGGGACAATTTCCTCGTCGGCAAGAAGCTGACTTGGAAAGGACCACCCACGGCTGGCCAACCAGCCCTGGTACAGATCGAGGAGTTGCGCAGCCTTGAGTTTGATGAGTTGGGCAATGCAACTACCTTTATCATGAAGCCGTCGCCACGCAGAGTAACTGTAGTTTTTGAATCTATCTCACATGCTTGGGAGAGTATGGAACATCCGGATCCTTGGGGCTTTCAGCTTCATTCGATCACGCAGATTGAGCGATCTACATCTTCCAATCAGGTAGTGTGGCTCTTCTATGACTATACCTCCCTTTATCAGTATGGCGAGCGGACGGAGCTACAGGAACATCTCTTCCGACAAGCACTTGATCATATGCACACCTTGTATGCGCATGAAGCAGTCAAGGTTCACATTCTTGATGAGCTTACACCAGCCACATGGAAGCATCAGGGCTCGATTCAAGCATACTCTGAACGAGGACCCAGCCGATGAAGATTTGATGTACCCTGAACACCTGCGCTTTCGCGGTGATTCCGTCTCACGAATAATGAACACCTACTGTAAGTCAAAATCCAAGTGTAAAGGGATGCAAAGAGATACCCTGTAAACTTTACCAGACGCAAAAGGTTGTGCCAGATACAGTTGCTACTGTACCTGCTCAAAGGTGGACTCGGGGCTCATTGCAGTCATTTGTTTGGGCAGACCCCCAAACCAACCTGTCACTCGGAGTTGAGACAAAGAGTGCGTCAGATACTGTAATGAAATGTAGACTCTTGATTAATAAACCCCCCATATGAAGAGGACTTCCAATTCACATGGAAGGATTTATTACAGTAATCAAGAGTCCACATTAACGGTAACGCTGCAAAGATGTTTAACGTTTGCAAACTTAGCCTGAAGCTCTTGGAGCAGACTTTGTTGTGTTGCTTTGGATGCAGCCAGAAGGACGTGCAGTGCTGGCAATGTCTATTGATCAGCTCAAGCTGAATACTACGCCCTACATGCTACGAGGATGGTGTCAGGCGGAGATGCAGTGGGCAAGCCTAAGGATCTCACTGGAAAGATCATTCCCTCTGCCGCCAGAGCTGTTCCGGAAAAGGGTGGATGAATTAGGCCTCCAATTCACACATCAAGACGACAAAGAACTAGTGATGAAGCTCCAGCAAAAGGTATTTGAGGAAAAAGTCTTGAGTACTAGACAGCTTGAAGTGGCCGGGAATCTTAACGAGGAGGCACTTGAAGTCCTTTGTGCGGCCTTGCCTTTTTACAAAGAGCTTGATGAGATTCCTGATCCTGTTTCAGTCAAAAAGCTGTTCTAGAGGAAAATCGACAGGAAAAATCGGTTTCCTTCGGTTTCCTCAACTCAAAGAGAGGTTTTCCTTGTAGATGCTCCTGTTGAAACATCCACTGTTTCACATGACTTTCATTTTCTCCACTGGCCAAGGATCCCAAGTTGCCCACCGGCCACAGCCTTTTAGCCTTGAATCCCTAAGCGACTAAGGATTGTCGTAAATGGCAACAGGCTCTCAGGAAGTGCAGCAGTGGCCGTGGTGCGGACCCAAGCGAAGTTCCTGCAGATGGAGTCGTGTGGGCTGAAGGATGAAGATGTGGAGCGTTTGGTGCTGGAATGGAAGTCTTCCCGAGCAGAGAAGATCTATACTTGGCGAACAACGACTTTGGCCACAAGGGTTTACGTGGCGAAGAAAAACAAACATGACATAGAGACTCTTCGGGGACTAGATTCTGAAATCGTATATTCTGTAGGGCTTGGGCAGTAGGCTTCACTTCTTTTTGAGCCGTACTTGCTGGCCAAGGTTTTCAAGCTCTGATGGAGTTGTCGAGGGCAAGACCGAAGCTTTACATTGATGTGCTGGCTCAAGGTGAAGCTGACATCAACCAACCACACCGTGAACTTCAGGAAACGACCCCAGCCTTTGCATGGGACGCTCTTTTGTACCCTCCATTTGGTTTAGTGCAGCATGCCCCTGTCAAAAGTTTGTGCATATCAACAGGATATCCTCCCATAGTCTTCGAATTCTTGCACTTGACTGAACGGACAGTCCTGGACACCCTTTGCATCGAAGGACCCCGCCCAGTCAGCCGCTCCAGAAAGATCCATGCCTTCAGGCGGATGGCGGATGGGTATCAATCGGCTGGATGGAGAGATCCACAGGCTTTCTCCATGAATAAAGAACAATGAAACGACCACAAAGATGCAACAAATACGTATTCGCAAGCTTGCAGGTCTAGATCATCACTGAACTGAATATTGGATAATTTGAGATAATGCGAATTGAAACATATTGCAATGAGAAAGACCGTGACATATCATGAAACGCCTATTCATTGGGGATTCAACCTCCAATGGGATGGTTTCCATCTGCATATTTTGAAAAAACAACATATCGAAATTCTTCCCAATCCACCGGATTGCGAATCCAGGACTTCAATCTGGATACGAATCAAGGATATAATGCAAATAAATCGATGGAATAATCATTTTTTCGATGATTGAATTCTTTGAAAAGAAATCTCTTCAATTATCTCCGATATTTTGGAATTCAAAAGAATTCCAAATCACATTTTCCAATTATCCAACATTAGACATCCAAAAAATATTTTACATATTATATAACAATTAATATATTACTATTATATTATATTATATATTATGAAATTAATATTCTATTATATATATTTATATATATTTTATAGAATATTAATATATATATATATTATTAATTTAGAATTTATTGATTATTTATTTATATATTAATATATTTCTATATTTAAATATTTTTATATTCGAATCGATAGATTTATATTAAGAATTAAACGAATAATTAATAATATATATATTATATTTGGATTATTTTAATATATTATCTTAATAGGGAAATTTCTATTCGAATATATACAAATAATAAATTATTATTTAAATATAAACATATGGATAAAACATTATATATATTAATTTTTTTTTATATAATATTAAATATAGAATTAAATTATATATTTATTTATTATTAATTATTAATTAATTGATTCGATATGAATATTCGATGAAATATTTATAGATATATTTTAATAAAGGATTATCTTTAATATTGTGGATTTGATTAATACCCTATATTTCCGATATCTTTTTCTAATGTTTTTTAATGATTATTGATTGCATTTATTCTTTTAAAGATTGTGGAATTATATATTTGTAATTAATTTTGGAAGATTGGTGGTTAAAAAGAATTTGCTAATTTGGTACGATGTTATTATACATAGAAATCTAATAAACCATAATGGTTTAATATTCTGTATAGGGACGCATTGTGGCCTGGCAAATTGAGGATCGCCTTGGTGTCTTTGGGAGAGAATATCGTATCCATCGATATGAAGGTGTTATTAGGTCATTAACCTTCCAGAGCCGTCTAAAGGCAATGGATGGATTTATCCAACCTTTTTTATAATTCTTTCTTGAGGACTTTTTGCAATTGGAATTTACATCAACTAAAGCACCAACAACTCCTGAGCTAAATGCACCGCCGAAGGCTCCTGGCGCTTGGTATTGATTATTCGAAGTCTTCATATTTGAACCTGATGAGATATAGGGGCAATAGTGTCCAAGAACCTTCCCATATCATCTTTTCTTGAGGAACTTGTGGAGATGGAGATCGCGCCAGCCAACTGAGGTTAATGTGGCTGAAGAGAAATTGTTTCAAATAATTGCCTGATAAGATCTTGGCAACTTTACACGTTTTTAGTCACATAGTTTTTGGTGTTTTATTTGCTAGCAATCCATTTCTTTTAAGAAATGGATTATCTGACCACTGAGGCTCCTACTCTTGATACTTCTCCACCGCCAAAGACTAAGACGGATTCCTTGCCAAGCACGCCGCCCAATCCTCCCATGCAACGGGTAAGGCTTCGCAGGAAGAGGCATTGGGTTCTAGGGCCACCTCCAGACATATCGGATGATATGGTGGCTGCCTTGCAGCTCAAGGCCAAGCTTTTGCCTAGCAAAGTTGGCAACCCAAAAGGGCAGGAGCACGAGTACCAGGATACATGCTGGATTTGTTATCGAACCAAACATTCACATGATTGGGAAATGCGTTCAGGCCCGAACTACTCAATTCTGATTGGGAGCTAGCTGCTCTGCCGCCTGTCGCCGGCTAGGTCTTTCACGTTCCTTTGCAATTCTTGAATTAATGCCCGGTGCGACAGACGTCGTGCTAGCTTGGAATGAATATTTGTCAGAAATGAAGAAATCACGAGGGGGGCAAGGCGACGCATGCCTTTGCAAGCGCTGTCCTTGATCTGATTCCCTGCGGTTTCTGTTTAGGTTTTTGTTATTTAGTGGCCGGGGTTTGGGGTCTAATCACCGCGATTGGGGACGATTTGGAGCTTTGCGACCAGACAAAGCAGAAAACATATGAGCTGGGGACACTTGAGCCGGAAGAAATTCCACGTCGTGCTAAGTGCCTAGCAGCTTGCAACCTAACGATAATATCATGTAGACCGACTTATTTAGTAATGGGAAATCGGGGATATTATCGATACCCCTACCGATACTTTACCGATACCATACATTAACGATTTGTCTACTTGGGTGCCCAACCCCTACATGTTTTTGTAAACGCTGTTTTTGCTGGAATTTACCAAGGAATACATTTCTATTAATTTCAACAATATTTGTAGTCCGCCATGGGGTATGACAAGAAAAACAAAACAGAAAAGGCCGGCATTCGTCTGCTCGCAAAAGAACTTTTAGAAATCGATTCGACAGGGCTAGCCTTGAGGGAGGAAAGCCGGAAACACAAACCTGGCGATATTAAAAGGTCAGCCAAAGCCTCCGAATCCCAGCAAATCTCAACAATTTTTTGTTTTCCCCAATGCCTGCGCTAGTCCTTGTAACTAGTGTGGCCCAAGCGTGGTGTGAGCTCTCGTTATGGTGCCGTATTGTTGTGGTATTGCGCCATTGCGTTTGCTCAAGTTGTGGCGCTCCGCTCATTGGGCGCTCTCGTTGTGGTGCCGTGTGCGGCGCTTCGCTCATTGGGCGCTCTCGTTGTGGTGCTGTGTTTGAGCAACGGTGGCGTTGCGCTATTGTGATAAGCAATGGATAGCTCTCTATGCTGTGATTGCTCTCTTGTTGTGGTGCCGTAAGCAGTGCGAATGTAGTAGTTCCTGTATAGAGGTGCCATTAATGTCAGAAGGTTTCTGGGTTGCGTTGCTTTTGTCGAGACCAATTCCATGCAACGCAGCAATCTAAGGATGATACCTCTGAATAATTCCTCCGGGAGCAACACCACTGGGTTTATGAGCACGCTGAGCGCAAGCATTTTTCCTATTCGTCGGCATATTGATGCATTAATTCGAAAGGTCTTCAGAACACGAGACTCAGTGCAAAACATGGGGTATACCATTGGACAATAAAGATGGGTGAATGCACAGTGTGCTGCCACGCCCGAAGAGGCGCAGCAAGCTCAAGGGGGTAGACCCTCCAAGGTCAATGACCCTGCTTTGGCAGAGCTAGTGCGGGAGCGTCTTTATGCCAGCAGCCAAAGCAACTCCAGGATATGCGCAAAAGGCTCCAGCTCTCCTTAAGAGTGGCATGTTGTCAGAACCTTGATCAGAGACGTCAATGCCATTTATGATGATGAACCTGATCTTTTCTGCAATATGAGCCAACGAATAATGACGAAATTGAGGAAAAAACCTTTGTCTGAAAACAACCTGCATGGAACGAGAGCGACTGGTGCCAATATTGCTACGATTTAGACAAGAAGGCTGGATGGCTAAGTAGGAAACCACTAGTTTGCGCAGATAAGATAAGATACCAAATTTTAATGTGGTTCTTTCTCTCTCCGCCCCCTGTGAGGTGATGCCTGAATGCCAGCAGCTTGTGCGCAGTGTGAGGACAAGATTGGAAATTTTCATATCCAAATGTTTTGAATTGTTCGACCGATTTGTAGAGCAATAGCAGCTTCCGGAAAAGCCAGGGCTTCACTTGAGGCTGTTGAGACATTATATGTGGCACCATGAGCAGAGAAAATGATGCTCCCAACACAGAGCTCCTGACTCCATCGCTCTGTCAATGCCGCCCAGAAGCCTGTTAGATTTCAAGGAGCTATTGACATTGCCAATTCAAGGAAGAAGCACCGGCGAATCTTTTTTTGCAACAACAAGGATGGAACTTAGCTGTTTTGGTTACGTGACGTCAGAGCATTTCAATAAGAAAGATGGAAGCGCTATGTTGGCCAAAAAATACATCTTGGTGCTGTCTAATACCTTCGATCATATTTCTACACGTGCAAACCATTGTATAGACATCTGCCTAAACAAGAGGAGCACGCCGCCCGCATTGCTCAATGAAATTAATATCATCTCTGACGCTGCAGGCCATTTGCGTGGGATTGAAAACTTTTGGCACCATTGTGTGAAGATGGTTGGCGAGCGAGTCCGTATTTTGGTCGGACAGATCAAAGAGCTGATCGGTAAGAACACCCACGAGGATGATGATGCAGCTTTCGCTCACTGGCTGGACACAAGCCAGATGTTGGCTGACGTCCTGACGAAGGTTGGTTGCGAGCGCGAGCCCCTGCTAGCAGCCTGTTGAAGGTCCCGGTTGGTATGCATTTGGGGTGCGAGAAGCACATGAAGGGTCCTGCAGATGAATTGTTTGGGTGGATGGCAATGGCGCTTAAATGGACAACACAAATTAAATGTAACATCACCTCCTTGCACGAATTGAAAGAATGGTTTGATAAATACACAGCTGGTTTGAGGAGGAGAGACCCATCGAGCCCGTACATTAAAATGATCATAGATACCACTG